GACCTCCCTCACCTTTCTTCCTCCAAATCTCTTCTTTGTCTGTCTGCACTTACTGCTCCCGTGGAAAGAAAAAAAGGAAAGAAAAAAAATATAAATAAATAGCACTGATAAAACGTGACTTAACGTGGCCATTTAAATATCTAACTCTCCTTCTTCCTGCTGTATTGCTAACACACACATTGCACCCTGTTTAAGGCTGACAAGGAAGGATCTGAGTGTTTGTAACATCTTCTTTTAGCAGATCTTTTGCTCTGTCCTTACAGAGAATGCTATCTAAGGAATTCTGAGTGTCTGTAGGTGACAACAGTGGGTGTCACACACATCTGTGAGGAGCACTTCTGCGATAAGCTTAAATCCCACAGGGAGTCCTGTGGGTTTCATTCTGTGACTCAAACATATCTAACACAGTCTGTGGCTGTTTTCTGTCTTCTTGTAACGCACTGCTCCCAGCACTCCCAAGCTAACAGCTAACCAAAAAATGAATAATTGCAGGCTGCTGCCTTCTCTGCCTCAGAAAAGCCTGTAGCCTTTTACCATCCACTGTAGGGAATATTTGCTGGCTCCTAGGGCGGAGTGACTGATGCACTGCTAAACACTGGGGATGTGTAAGTAGCTGGAGAACGTGGAAGATCATATTCACAGATGATGGGTTATGATACATTTAGAGGATTTTAGGGTTGCCACTGTGCCCTCTGTCATGGCCCTTCGGTTCTTGCACCCATCACAAAATATTTCCCTTACCTCCCATTATAGGCTTTCTTTCTTAGGTAAGTGGACCAGTCTCACCTTGGAGTATTTCAGGTCTCTTTATAATCCCACAGACTAATGAGAACCTCTACGAAAGGAAATGTCCATCCAGAATTCAAAAGCATTTACTCTAATCCTGCTGCTTTCCATCCATTTTCTCTCCTGCTGTTGTGTGTTTCCTTCCCCTGCTGGCAGTGGTGCTGCATGCTGATGGAACACACCTGGCCCATCCCGGGGGGAAGCTCTGGATGGGTTTATTGGGGAGCAGAGCAGCAGGGGGGATTTCAGTGCATCCAATGACTCTCCTACCTATGGGATGCCTGCAGGTAGCAGCAGATGCTGCCATTTCCTATGGCCACAGCAGTGCTGCAAGCGTGTGACCTTCAGAGAAACATATCCAGCATCCTCTCCTTGGCTACATACTGTAAAGCTGTAATGTTTATCTATTTCTTAAGAGAGAAAAATCCCTATAAGTGCTCGAAAAAGGAGATTTGCAGTGGTAAACTCAGGCTGGCTGAACCTACAGATTTTGTTTCTTGATGCAAAACTGCGTGCGGGAGAAGCTGGGCTTCAGATACACTTGGGAAGTGATTTCCTTCCGAGGGCACAGGAGGAGAGGATGGGGACCTTTATTTGTTCTTTGTGCAGCTCTGCACTCCTTAGCGGCACTGGCGGGATGCTGTAACACTGCTGGTGGGCCCCGTAGTCACGATGGAGAAGCGGCCGGGCTCTCGGATTGGCCTGAGCGAGGCCTTGGCAATGCACATCTGACAGCTGAGGGGGGAACCCCGTTTTAGAGGCAGGGGAGCTCGGTTCAGGGCTGCTCATCCCGGCCTGCCCCTCGCCCAGCAGAACGTCGGATGGGCACTGCCGCCCTCTGCCGGCCCCCCAGCGCGCATAAACGAAAAACCGAACCCTAACCGAACTAAAAATGAATAATAATAACAAAGAAAACAATGAAACCCACGGAACCGACCAAAGAAACAAAAAACTCAGCACGAATTTGCAAGACCAGATCACAGAGGAGCGCAGGGAACACGCTGCTTGCTTTTGGATTTTGCTCAGCACGTCATAGCACCGTTCGTACCTCAGTGCCCCTGAAGCAGGGGGCTGTTCCTGCCAGCAGGCTGCTTGGAGAGAGAGGGAGGGACCAGCACAGAGCTCTCCTGGGCACTGGGAAAAGAATGGAAGAATCTCCACGTACTGAGGCAATGGGGGAGTGGTGCTTTCAGCAAGCACTGTTCCCTTCTGTGTCATTGGGCTCGCAGAAGGAACCATCCTCCTCCTAATCTCACTCCCAAAATCTGGAATCCTTGCATCATCTTTGAAAATGAAATATGTTAAGTATTAATACTAAAACTCAACTCAACTTACAGTACTTACAGGAAGGGATTTTAATGTACTATGCAAAGAGTTGGGCTTGATCTCTTCCAACTCAGAATATTCTATGATTCTATAAAATGCTAACATTTAATGTAATGAATAGGAAAGAAGAAGGAGAATAACTCTACTGTATTTTTTCTTGCTATTTTTTAAAAGAGGATCAAATTAAAACAAGGACAGGCTGTGTTAGTTACTAGCAATAAGCAGGCATCAAACTTACTGCTCCTCGCTCCTGGGGCAGGGAATGTGAAACGCCATGCGCTGTTACCATCAGGGATGTAGAAAACAGTGTGCAGGAGAGGAGAGAGAAAACATTATCACCAATTCATATGCTGAGAAGAAAGATACAGGAATACAAAAACCATCCAAAGTCACCTGTGAACTGAGCTGGGGATACAACACAAAAGCCTGAGCACTTTGATCTGCTCCATTGTGGCACTTCAAGGAAGCAGGTGAGGAGACGTATCAGGATGTCTCTGTGCCACTACTGATGCAGAGCTTTGCCATTTTTTTCTTGTAGGGATTCTGGGGGAACAAAGACTTTCCTCCTCCTGCTGTCACTGCCTGGAGGTTCTCTTGACCTTTTTTTCCCCTCTCATTTTTCCAGGTGATTAAATTGTTCAGTCAGAAAGCATGAATGCATTGCCAAGAAGCTAGGAATTTTACCACCACAGAAATGATAATTGCCAAATACTTCAGGCCATATTAGTTTCAGCACAGACTGCCCCTCAGCCAGGGATGACAGAGTGCCAGCAGCTCCAGCACAGTGACTGACAGAACTGGGACGTGGCAAATAGCATTTCCAAAGCCTGCAGCAGAAGGAGAGCTAGAGGATATGCTTTGCATTAAAAACAGTCATTGACTATATTCTTAGAACGAGGGATAAGGTAGAATGGGCCATGACTACTTCCCCTCTAAACCATTTCACTCGAAACATTCCCATCCTCTCATTCTCCTCTGCTACGTTGAAAGACTGGCACGTGTTCTACCAGCATAACCTTACCTATGTTCCTAAACTCCATTATGTGTTTGTACTAAATGAAAGGGATTTTGCTAGCTAAAGTCATATGAATTGAAAGAACAGTTTAGGGTGTGACATCCACTGATAGGTGAGTAAAAGGACTTCTTGCTCCCCTCAACTCATTGCTGCCATTGAACTCAGTACTTCACTGCTGTATTCCAGGTCTCTATCCTATGTAAGTAAAGAGTAAAGCACAGTTGAGACACTGAAGATTTTGACCCCAAAACAACGTCCATTCCAGCCAGCTGTGTGGTTTGTAACATTCCCAGCACATCCATGCCTGGCACTGCCCAGGTGTGAGCAACTCGCCTCAGCCAGAAGAGATCCCTCAATGGGACGCCAGCCCTTTGGGCTTTCAGTCTGCAGAATAAAGATTTGCCTACCTAAATTCTCTTTTCTTTCATTACTATGATGTATTTATTGAGTTCTGGAGGCACAACTAAACTCTGATTTGTTTAAGACTGATAACTCAGTCTATGTAGTTTTCCTTTTCCACGTCTAAAAAAGCAGCACTCTTTCCATGCTTTTTTCATGCTATCCACTATCAGCAATATTTAACTTCTTTCTAATTTCAGAGTCTGCTTTGAAAAGACTTGCCGTAGCTTAATTATTTTAACATAACTTTAATTATTTTAACGATTCATTTCCTGCAAATAATTGAATTTTAAAAAGTTAAATCACTCCTTAAAAATGTTACATTCAGAAACAACCTGAGCAACAGCATGGAACTTCTCTGAAGCCATGGCATGGTCTCAGGATGAACTCAATGCAAAAGGAATAATCTCAGTTTATATAGATCCCACCCTCGGTGGAATAAAAATACAACACCAAAACCAAAACCTACACGATAAAATAGGAAGTGGAATGTGTAGAACTGCCTAAATACTCAGCTTTTAAGAGTACTAATGTATTTTATTCTTGAATGGCTAAAGAAAATTTCATAGCAGGGATGGCATTTTCCATTCAGTTTCATACAGTGGATCAAAAATATTCTAGGGCCATTACAAAATGCCATTAGGTTTTACTTACAGCACAGTCAAAAGAGAACTGTGATTTAACTGAGACTAGAATTCAGACATAATTTTACATGCTTTCAGCATTGCTCCCTGCAGATTGGGTTATTTATGGGTTAAGTGCCCAGAAACAAGGGAGGTCACAGTGTGAAATATGTTTGAAAACCTGGAATTCATTTGATAACTTTTGTTAAGAGAATTAATAAAACACTGCACGATTGGCCCAGGCATCTACAGATCCACCTTCATTCTTACTTTCTACTGTAACAACGCTCAATCTACTACAGGTGGGTTTCCACTGATCCAAAACAATGCAATTGTCACTCAGGCTCAACGCTGTTCAATGAAATGTTCAGAACAAGAAATACATCTTGGGCAGTGGCCAAAGAAAGAGAGTAAATAAGCAGTTTAAAATCAGCTTGCTGTACTTCCCCAGAGAATTGTTACATACTCCTTTCAGCACTACAAAATGAGAAGTAGTTGCATAATGTTTAAGTTGTGTATCTTTCCTATGTCATGCTGTTGACAAGGTTTGGTATCCTTCATGGCACAGAGGTCCCAAAGTCAAGTCTTAAGTAGTCACTACACAAAATATCACTTTAGATTATGAGTTACAATGTGGAAGTACTCAGCACATCAATGGCTGTAGGTCAATAAAAGGTAGTGTGTTAACAAAGGCCCCTAACTTAATCTTCTGCTCTTCCACTTAAAAAGTGGTTTTTGAATAGCATCAGAAGATAACACTCATAGAGGGGTTCACTACAGAGACTGAGGTAAGGACAAGAAGGTAAAAATAAAATATACCCCATACACACAGAAAGGATCACAAAAACATATGAATGTTTGTAACAGGTTTTACTTGTAGAAAAGCAACATTTCAGCATCATTTCACAATAAAAAGATTTGTTTGGTTTACATAGACATGATATATCAACTCAGGATACAGCAGGTAAAGCATACTGTAGTACTTGGTATAAAAGTTATGAGATACAGTGCTGTATTCAGCCAGTTATTTCTGGTGACACTGCATGGTTGCTTGCCTAATTACAGATCCACTCTACTTCATATATGTCATCAGTATATTTTGGGATATAAAAATCAAAAGTATCAAAATACATTGAAATGTGTTTCAAAAAAACAACCAGGACCAAATTCTCACTGCACAGTAAGAGCTCTACCAGATTCTTGAAATAAATGGCACTTCATATGTAACTATCCATCCTCATTTTCTTGCTTCTGTGTTCACAGTGTCATTATCAGGTTTCTTCATGCAGATGATAAGCAGTAAAATGAGCAATTACTTTTCATGGGGCTTCTCCACCATCTTCAGTGCTAATCTTCCAACCATCAGCAAACTGTATGAGGTGAAAAAGACCCAGTAAATTCACAGAACTAAACAACAAGTTATAACTTAGCAACTCATTTTCAAATATTTCTCATGTAACAGGTGCAGAGAAACAAAAAAGACGCAGAAAATAAGATTTACTCCATCTCAGTTGAATTAAGGAAGTAAAAAAGCCCCAACAAAACCAAAGCAGTACAGTGTGTTGTACCTGACACCAGCAATCAGCCCTGCAGGCATGAACTTTCCAGAGTTGTAAAACCTCGTTCCCATTACGGCAGTCAGTGTTCCAGATGTAACTTAAATGAAAGATTAAAGAGTTCGGTCAGAGGAGATGTACACGTGTAAGAGAGATGCTGCAGTTCAGAACAGAAATAAGTAAAAACCAAGGGAAAAGTGGAAAGGGTTATTTCACATGATGGATTTAAAAAAAAAAGGAAAATAAACTGCAAATTTTGGAGTGCCTCAGTGCATGAAGAGCACGTATTCCAAACCAGCTTCTGGCAGATGCTGCACCCTGTGCTTCTGCACACACACTGCAAGTTTGTTTGTCAAAGTGAGCTTCTTTAGAGACTGGAAATAACCTACAGCATGTTACCCTGGAACTCGACTCTTTCCCAGCAAAACGCTAAGCCTGCACATGTAATTTCCCCACTTCTTGTAATAGCATTTTCTTATCTGTTACCAAGCCTTTACAGCCCCGCTTCACCTACTGCTAAGGTCAGAGATAGCTATCCACCCTGACCACCTGACACTGAGAAAAGTGAAGGAGTTTCACCCAGATAGTAAAATAGAAAGGGCAATCTCTAGAACATCGGGTCTTGAAGAAATTCCAAAGAAAACTACATGGAAATGGTGCCGATGAAATGTTTAGCATGGAGCTGCTATCCAGGGGTAACAGCTGCATGTAACATTGTGCTTGGAACAACATGTTATCTGGTTGCACTGCTTCTGTGTGATAGCTGGGCTGGCAAGGCCCAGCTCATTCTCAGCCTTAGTCATGGCATTCTTCCTCCCTAATGCTACTCTAAATATTGTCACTGACATCTAACAGTCTCTTGTAATTACACATGTAAAAGATTGGGACCACAATCCAACAAGAAGAAAAGTATTTCAATATTCAAATGCCTCCAGCTCTGATCAATAGCCAGTATTCAGAATGTGCACACCAAACTAAAGGCATTTTCGTCCAAAACATACCTTCTCCAAAAACCTCAAAGCGTGAAAAGGAGAATAAAAAAGTCTCTGTGTATTCCTGATCTATGCAAAAAATATCTGACTGTCACTGACATTTGGGAAAATACTTGGTCTCAGTCCAGTTCATCTGGCTGTGCTCACAGCTGATGCCACTCGATGAGGCGTGACTGTGCACAGCCTCTGACCTATCCAGTAGCTGGGGAAATGGCAGTGAGCTGCACCACAGACAACGCTAATACAGAGAAATGCTGAGCCCTCTCCTTTCACTTCCAACTTTCATATGTATGAAAAAGGGTGAGGTGCTATGGCACAGCCTCAGCAAATGAATGCTCTGTCAGTGGCACCCCTTTAAGCATGAAGTAAGCAGTGATCCTCGGCTTGTTGGCTTCTCAAAGGGGAGCCCCAGTTCTGAGAAGGAGGAAGAAGAAGTAGAACTCCTGAACCTTGCTTCTGTTAAACCTCCAGAACCATGCACACATCCGTCAAACATAAAAATAAGCCAATTACAATCTCTGCTATTTTCAGCAATAAGAAAATAACCTGCTGGGGGCACAGGCAGCCTGCAGGGAAATCTCTCCTCCTGAAGCTCCAGACTCAATGCTGGCTGCTGAACATTGGATCCAGGCAAAAAGAGGACGCGCAGAGGTTAGACATCAATTTACTAGAATTTTCCTTTCGCTGTGATCTTCCAAATACCCCAGTGTCAGACAGGTGCATGGTGGCATCACCAGTTCAGCCAGTCCAGGGGAACTGCACCATGGCTGGCACCAGAGAACAGTCACATACTGTGGGAACAGTGTCTTCTGCAGATCAGGAACGGAGAGAAGATACAGCTAACACAAAGACTGGCAAGAGAATTACACCAACAATGCACTCCCACAAGCATCTGAGATGTAGCAGCCTAAAATCTAAGCAATGCAGACAGCTCGTGTTCCAGAGAGAACAGTGCAGATTGGCCACTGTTAGAGATTTTCACTGAACGTAAGTTTAAAGTTCTGTTTTAGACTAAATTTATAGTACTATCAGTTTAATTCCTCAGCAAAAACCTGTAGGTGTTCATTTTTAGTATCCAGATGTTTTAGGGTAAATATACTCCTTTGTAAATAAAATGCTAAAAGACTTACTCAGAGAAATCCAAACATTGCTTGGATTCTGGGAGAGCTGATAGGCACCCAGTCCAGCCAGACTTCCAAAGAGCAGCCCAGCAGCCAGCGATGGAACACTGCCTGAATCAAGAAAAGACAACACATTTATTGGAAGCTCAAGAACAAACTCATTACTTGTTTTGTAAAACACTATAAATAACAAAAAATGTGGACATTCATTGTTGTGAAACAGAGAAATGGGGGAGGGAAAGGGGGGTGTCTTATAAGATTTTAAGGCCATGCTGACCTGAACCAAGAATCGTATCAGATACTCTTGCACGAGAAACAAACAGCATTGGTATTTAAATCCTTAAGTCATGAATATATTTATGGCAGAAAGACCAATGAGAAAAGTGAAAAAACTGATGTTTTCTTTTTGCAGACAAAAGTACTTTGTTCCAATGCAACGATTCCAGAATTTCTTGAAAAGCAGTGCATGTTTAAGATCAGAAAAAAGAGGTGAGAACTGAACGAGGTGGGAGGGATTTACACAAACGAGAAGTTTCCAAAGTAGAAAGGAGTCAAACACCCTGGGCTCACCTCGATCAAGGGATCAAGTTCTCAGCACAAGTGATAATCCTGAGCTACACAACACTGGTAATTTGTTCATTGAGCAGTGAAGTGACAAGACCACTGGGGGGTGAATATTTTCAGTCAGGCAAATGGAGAGTTCAGGACTTACTGTTCATGATCCGAATTCCCACAGCCACGTCCTCCCTGCCCAGTCAGACATCTCCCACACCATCATGGCCTCAGAGTAATGCTGAAGAAATTAGTTACTGAAGTTCTCAGTATTTGTGCCAGGGGAAGTTTAGGTTGGGTATCAGGAAACACTTCTTACAGCAAGGGTTGTGAAGCACTGGAAGAGGCTCCCCAGGGAAGTGCTTGAGTCACCATTCCTGGGTGTGTTTAAAAACCATTTGGATGTGGTGCTCAGGGACACGATTTAGCAGAGGGTTGTTAGAGTCAGGATAGTATGGCTAGGTTGTGATTGGACTCAAGGATCTCTAAGGTCTTTTCCAACCTGAGCAATTCTATCATTCTATTGTCTCTCCTGCTCTGAACTCCACTTGCAGCCCAAAGGAAGAAGCAGGAAGGAAGAAAGCAGGCTGGAGTGGGCACGAACACCTGTGTAGCCGTATCTACTGGGATGCTTCTTGGTGTCTTCCATAATGAACTCATACACCTTCGTATTGCAAATATGATGTAAAAGGACTTTCCAAATACAAAGAGTTTCAGGAGGGATGAATCCACACCTATGCCCAGAGTAGGGCAACGTGGGGAAGCGAAAGCAACAGGGTGGCAACTCAGCACGTGACGGGGAGTCCGGGAAAGGACCGAGCTTAACAACAGAAGAGCATTTCTGAAGCGAGCTACGCCAGTGCAGCCGCACCGCCCAACGCCGAACCGGGCTATCGGCGCTCCGCAGGAGGCGGACTGCGGCTTATCGGGCCCAGCAGCAGCTCTTCCTACGGCACCGCGCCCCGAGCCCCGCTATCAGCGCCCGGCACAGCCTCTCGCTTCTCCCCCTCGGGACCGCGAGGTGGGGGGCTGTCGGAACAAGCAGGGAAGAGGGTCGGAAGGCGCTTCCAGCACCGTACCTGCTTTAGCGTAGCCAATGAGCCCTCCCGATGTCACCAGAGCGGCGTAGCCGAACCCGATCCAATCCACGGCCATGCTGAAAACCGGAAAATAAACTGGGGGGAGGGGGGAGTCGTTCTAAACGCGGCTGGGGGGGGAGGCAGATAATAACAAGGATATTTGTTTGCCGCGGGAGGACCTGCCCGAACCCCAAGCCAAGAAGTGACACGCAGGATGAGCTGGGAAAGCAGCCGTGGGGCTGGCTATGGGGCTGGCTATGGGGCTGGCCGTAGGCAGGAGCGGAACCCGGCCGTGCCCACCTACCGGCCTGCAGCGGGGCGGAGCGGGGCGCCTTGCGGAAGGGGAGGCGAGAGGGAGTCGGAGCGCGGAGCCGCCCCGTTCCGTCCGATTCGAGGGAGAAGCGACGAAAGAGCCCGCCCGTGTTGATGGGTGGGAACGGTCCGTGTCTTCTCATTCGGCTGGAGTTGCGAGTAAAGCGCCTGGGGTGCTGAGGAGGCCCCCAGGCTGCTGCTTCTGGTTTGCTTCGAGGTTCTTGTGGCGTTTTACCACTGCCACCCACCTCGCTGTTCTTAAGGCAGGATGAGCTTTTTCATTTCTGGTACCTCTTTGGGTCGGCCTCTCCCAGGTGACACCGATAGGGCGAGAGGGAACGGCCTCAAGTTGCACCAAGGCAGGTTCAGGTTGGGTGTTAGGAAAGATTTCTTCTCCTCTGAGTGGTGAGGCGCTGGAATGGGCTGCCCAGGGAGGTGGTCAAGAGTTGTGTGGATGTGGCACTGAAGGACGTGGTTACTGGGCATGGAGGGATGGGTTGGCAGTTGGACTTAATGATCTCAGTTGTCTTTTCCAACCGTACCCATTCTGTGATTCTTTTTCTCTGCTGCTGCCTTCTGTTGTTCTAGCTAGTTCTCTGAAGACCAGAATGGAAAACATTCTGAAAGGGACGGCGTGCACCAGAGAACAAATTGCAGCGCTGCCAAGCGCTGGTTGGTGGCCAAGCATGCACTCAAGGTATATGAAACAAGACTTGCTTCCAAGACTTTTTGCATTTCATCTTAGAAGCTGTTTGCACTGGATTTCTCAGTCTCCTGTTCACAAATTGTTCTGAATCTGATGAGATGTTAGTACCAAGGGAGTTTGGATTTTTACAGATGTGCAATTTGACTTGCAAGCCTAAAGCTCCGACCCAAAGATCCATGGAATTTTTGCTTTTTCATTCTTAAAATGATGTGCAGGCTGGGTTTTTGCTGGTGCTCGTGACACCTGGCTTCAATAGCAGTGATGCTCATGGCCATGGGCTCATGTATTTGAAATTTCAGTGGAAATTGCTCTACTAGTGACAGCCATTTTGCTAAGGACAGACATAAGGCAAAAATTTTAAATCTCTTGTACTTAATGAAGTATAAACTTCAATGAGAGAAAAGTGTAAGTTCTGTGTTAGCAGTAGGGGCCTATTTAAGTTAAAAACAACCCTTTATTGCTGGGCTCATTTAAACGGAGTCCACTGCCTATTCAGACGTGGTGTTCTCATAACTCATCTAAATAAAGGGAACAGTTGCAAAGGAGAAACACAGACATCTGCCTTCAAGAGAAGATTGCTATTGGCACATGAGCAATCTCATAACAGCTCAGATGCTCTGCTTCAATATCTGAGCATTCTCAGAGCTAGGCTGGAGTTGTACCTTATTTTACAAGCCTAAGGCAGGAGGCTGCATTTCTGGTTCCAGACTGGGCTCACTCTTCTTCCTGTTTTTTTCCCTGTACCTTTTCTCTGGTGACACTGATATGGAAGAGCATATTGTTATTAAACTGAGTAAGGATAAAGCCTAATTCCAGTTACCTTATGAAAACAGCATAAGTAATGACTATAGTATAGGAAAACAAAACATTAGAATCCCTTCATTTAAAAGAACAAAGAGAACTTTGAGCTGGACAAGGTCAAATACTACACTTTGTTTTTCCCACTGTGTAACTGAAATAAGACTTAGGACAAAATTCTGTTCTTGCTGACTGAGAATGCTGAGAATGCACTGTCAGATGGCTGACATTTTATCAAGGTGACAAATGTTTCAAATGTTAGATTTTTTTTTTTTAAACAACATGATTCAGATCAAGGACATGAAAAAATATGGTATGGAGAAGAGACAGTAAAACCCTATTAACTCTTCCATGTAAACATACAGGCTGTATTCTGAACAAAGGATTTCAATCATGTGAACCCCCAAAGCCAATCTACCCATATTTCATTCACACTGGAATTTTGGAAGTTCTTGAAAGTCCACAATGTAAACTTTTAATAAACACTCTTAAAGTGTTTAACTGAGTCAGGAAACTCCTATAAAAAGGGGGGACCTAGACTTTATACAGGGTGCTCATAGGGGGACTTAAAGAAAAAATTAAATGCATAGAGTATAGAGTAAAAAAGCAAATATTCTGTTCATAAAATCTCTGCGTAACTCTGGGTTAAGAACTAAAAAGCAGTTTTTTGTGAATGTATGAATGAAAAGTGATAATATTTTAAATAATTTGAATATATTCCTTCTTAAAGTAGAAGTCATGAGAAACAAAGGCAGATTATATTTTCAGTGGTCTGAACAGAGAATTTTCAACATAAGAATGACTTAAGAGTAAAGAATATAACTTTAATAGGCATTTAGCTGAGACACAAAAATTTAACTGAGACATGTAGCTGTTTTTATCATTTTAGCTGCCTATTTCAGAATCTGTTAAAAAGTGTATGCTGCTGTAAATACAAAAATACAAGCATTACCTACTGTGAGTTTATTTCAGCCTCATTCTCTCAGGTAAAGTTGCCATCCCTTTTACTATTTCTCAGAATGATCAGCCAATTCAGCTGGGTAAAAAATAATTACTCTTGAAAACCGTATCAGTTCAGAGGTGTTTGTCCTGTCAAGAAGTTTTAAAACATCCTTGTAAAAACTACAGCAACACCAGCATTTACTTCTTATTCAGGAGAAAAAGCATTCGCCTTCATTCTGAGCTATTCGGCTTCTTTTTCTTCTTTTGCAGTGGAGCTTCCAATTTTCGCTTAGCTGGAGCAATTTGTCTGTGTTGTTTTGTCAGTTTACCACTTTTATTCGTCCCACAGACTTTCTTCTTCTTGTCTACTGATGGCTTCTCATCTTCATTTGCTGAAAAAAGCAAGAAATTATTCACTCTGACATTTATTTCCAGTCTGTAGTCTAAAACGTTACAGAGGCTTATTTGTATCTCCCATTAAAAAAGGAGGAATTTAAGCCATAACTGATTTACAGCAGAGTGTCATCTATGCGACTTTTTATTAAGAAAATCCCTAAAGATCAAATATGGAAGTAACTCAGTATACAGGAAAACAACAGCAGCAAAAAAAATCAACAACTCCTGCCACCAACCAATCAACCAACCAACCAACCCCTGGGCCAGACTTTGCCCAACTGCACTGGCATCAGATCTAAGTTCATAGCAGTACAGGAACATTCCGTTCTATCAGACTGTTCATTCCTTTGTTATCTGTCCTGAAAGCTTCAGAGTTCAGTTATTCCACTAAAGAGAAACAAAGCATTCGTATCATAGAAGTGAAAAGATGTCCTCTCATTACAATGCAATGTATCACAAATTAAGTTTCCACAAACAGAAGAACCACTTCCCTCAGTTCCAAATCATCACTCAGTTTCTGTGTGCATCTGCTCACAAAGTTTCCATAGTTGTGTCATGTAAATAGGCTTTATTAAGTGCAGGCCTGAGACTATTAAGTAGATGTGGATATCTATGCAACTTGCCACATCCCCAGTTCCTTAAACTACAAAAGCATACAGTCAAAACGTCCCATTCACTATCTTACATTTCACAGTCACATTAACAACTGAAAATACAGATAATTTTATTACCTTCAGTTGATGTTGCAGTTTTTTCACAATTTTCTTTCATTTCTGAAGCTTGGTCAAGCCACACTGCAAGGCACGTCAGTCTAGCTTTGGTGCTGACTTCACATAATAAAGATGGCACGTTTTTAATCTGAATATGGAAAAAGAAAATTAATTAAACATCTCTTCTATTTAAAAATTTACTAAACTATCTAAACGGAGGAAGAATTGTATGGCCCAGTTCCCACTTCTTTTCTGGAGAATCACAGAATCATAGAATGGCCTGGATTGAAAAGGACCACAATGATCATCTAGCTTCAACCCCCCTGCTATGTGCAGGGTCACCAACCAGCAGCCCAGGCTGCCCAGAGCCACATCCAGCCTGGCCTTGAATGCCTGCAGGGATGGGGCATCCACAACCTCCTTGGGCAACCTGTTCCAGTACTTCACCACCCTCTGAGTGAAAAACTCCTCCTAAAAATGGTAGGGTGCCTAACAATGTTAAGAAGCAGAGGCTGCACGCAGGTTAATGGGCACAGTTACAGCCCTGTTTCTGCCACCATTCCTCAGTGGTGCTTTTTATAAAAAAACTCCCAAGAGCTGCCAGTGCACATCTTGCTAAGTGACATCAGCATGCTTTACCATGCAGAGGTGGTCTGACACGATGAATAAGCAGACGAGTCACAGGCCCACAAAAAAAAGTGAATGTTTTCTGAAGTTTATCCAGATTACAAGGCATTTTCAGTAGTTAAAATAATTTGAGTTCAGTTACTGCACCAGGTTCTTTTTGTCCCTCACAAAAACACTGCTGCTGATTGAAAATAATCCTTACGTGGTGTGCTTCAAATTGCTTAACTGCATCTGTGTGCTCAGCTCTGCAACTGTTGAGCAAAATCCTACTACAGGTATCGAGGGTAATGTGTCACAAACGCACGTGCAAAACAGCAGCACTGATCCTCTAGAAACTACTTCTAGTAAAGGTATTGTGCCTCTCAGAGCCGGGCAGAGCAACCCACACAGTTATGCAGGGGTTCACAAAGATTTGTCTGTGCAGTAAGAAGAAAAAAAAATGAATCACACACTTGGTCAAAGTAAAGACAACGTTACAGAGGAAGTTAAAGAGTTCCTTGATCACTATTTCAATCATGCAAAAGCAGACCTGGGATTTCAGACAAAGAGGAAAATAGGATTCTCACTACTGCGCTTAAAAGAATATAAAAACCGTCACGAGGGCTGAAATTAAAAATGTATGAATTCAGAATAGAAATACAAAGTGAGATTTATTTCAGTGTTAAGATATTATAGCAGAATACAGAAGAGCCCTTATTATTGGGCATTAAATAAAAAATCTAATTCTGATTTTACAAGGCAAGTCCCAGAACAAAACAGTAAAGAAGGGGAACTTGAAAGATAAGGCACAATTCCTTGTTAAATTGTGCTACTCAGAATTGTTGGAAAATACATGAAATAAATGCAGGCAGAATAGTAATGGACTTGGTGATTTAAGGTCTTTTCCAACCTGAGCAATTCTATATGATTCTGTGATCTGAGTTTTTCTGCACAACAGTTTTTTGCACCTTTAAATGGTTAGCAACAGCCAACAGCACTACACAACTTCACTGCAGTCATTGTAACATACCCAACTGTTTGGACAGTGGTAAATTTTGCCAGCTATATTTGAAGAGAAGCATGATTTCATGTATAAAAGAGAGCTTCATAATCTGATTTTGTAGCTTGTTAAAAGAAAAGATGCCAAAATACACAGGTGCATAAATTATGCACATATGAACGTAATGGGGAGAGGGATCAAGACATGCAGATTACAAATAAAATTCCACCAGTGCTTTAAAATTGATTATTACAACAAAACACTCCACAATTCTGATTGATGCTTTTCCATAAGTTGAGCAGTTCAACAGACCCACCTTATTAAGATCCAGATTCCACACTTTAATGTAACCATCACTGGATGCAGTAACAATAACATGTTGTCCTTCCCTTTCAAAACTATAGATATCTTTTATTCTGTGAAGAAAATGTTATACTTGGTTACTGCGTAACACGGCAGAACAGTAAGCTGACAGCAATTAGAGCTGCACAGGCAACAGTACAGGAGTCAGTTTGAACAGTAAAAAAACCCACAAAGGACAGGCAGTAACTTGGAAAGATGACCTATTTTGAGTGCTGCCATTTACAGTAGGAATACATGTCCTTGCTAGGCAGATAGGATTCAGTTCAGAACGTGTCAGTACCTTGAAGTACACACTATTGTCTGCATCAGGGGCACAGTAGTTAAAGTTTTCCTGTTTTGATTAATCAAAATAATTAAAATCAGAACTGGGAAAAATACATAAATAAATACACGACATCTCACACATACATAAATAAATGTATACAACAACAGAGAATATCCTACTGTCTGGAATGAATACAACTGGTATGTTTTATGTAAGTATCCTAAACAATTAGAAACTGTAAAGGCTGAATGTTCTTTAGACAGCCTTGCCTACTTCCCAAATACCAGTGCCCACTTTCAGAAATACATGAAATACACTGAGAAAAACTGTACACATATATATGTAAGCACGTTTCATATACATATATAAAAATGTTACATATATATGGCATGCATTTGATATCAAATCCACTAATTTGGTAGAACCTTTTGTGGTTTGATCTCCTCACTTAGCAGCTTTCCACTGCAAAGACACCAGGGTGACCAGACATTCAGAGGAACCAGCCACCCTTGAGCAGCTCCCCACCAACCTGCTGGGTAATTCACAACTGCCAAGGGTGCAGCTGTCATGAGGACAGACCTGACTATGAGAGTCAGACATCACAAGATGTCTCCTTTCAAATGTGCCTGTCCAGTATAATCCAGTTTGGCAGTGGAAACCCTGTTGAGCAATTTTCATCTCATTGGCTGAGAAGAACTACAGAACCCAGTGGCCCCATGGAAGGTTTTTGGTATTACAACTTGTAGAGATGTATCAGTTCAGACACAACAAAGCTTTGAGGAGGGAAAAGAGAGGAAGACCTTCCTTGTGAAAAGAAGTATTAACGCACAGGCACACCAGTAAATGTAGGTCCTATATTTAAGACATATATTTAGACATGATCTATACTGATCTGGAACTTAAGACCTTAATATTTTACACAGTACTTAAATTGCTAAGGTTAGAACTGTAATATTCCTAATTCTAAACCCAGCTGTTTTTGTAGCATGCAAGGATAGCACAGTACTTCTGCTTATGCCAAAAGCAAACAAGTCTGTTCCAAACTTGGAATTTAGCACATTGAGTAAATTTACTTTCTATACAAATACAAGAACAGTAGTAAAATGTGTGAACACTGCAACTTTGTATACTGAGTACTCAGCACTGCCATAAATATTTAAGTAGTACACAAATATAAAATACCTGTTTTCATGAGCTTTAAATTCACACAGACATTTTTGAGAGTCACAGCTGTAGAACCTTATAATTTCATCATCTCCAGCTATGGCAAGGACAGAATCCTTGAAATGGGAAAAAAGAAATGCAAGTGTGA